CTTTCTTGATGTTGTAACTGAGATGAGGGTCTAGCTTCCTACTAGGATTACAGACATGAGCCAGGATTACAGACATGAACCACTGTACCTGACCAACAGGACTGCTCGTGAACGGACATGACTGTGATGTCATTCTGTGCCCACAGCCATTCACGCTCAGAGATTCTTTTCCTCTACCCCCTCCCCCCCAAAAAAATCATGTTACCAAACCAACAGTCCAAGAGTTCAACATACTCCACTCCAGTTTATTGTCAGTTTATTGCCTTCTATGAGGAAAACCCCCAAACCATCCATTTCCTCATCCAAATTACTAAATTCAAAGTCCTGCAAACAGCTACTCTAACAACTTGAAATTCTTAGAAAGTATCACACAGGCTTTTTGTTGTTCTTTAACTTAAAAGAAAGGACTTACTAAGAGAGCCACAGGGCAATTTACTTTATGAAAACTATACTACTTTTTTCTTTCTTTCTTTCTTTTCCGTCAGTTGTAAGGCTCGAACTCTGGGCCTGGGCGCTGTCCCTCAGTTCTTTAGCTCAAGGCTAGCACTCTGCCACTTGAGCCACAGCACCACTTCCAGTTTTCTGGGTTGTTTATCGGAGATAAAAGTCTCATGGACTTTCCTGCTTGGATAGGCTGGCTTTGAACCGCAATCCTTAGATCTCAGCCTCCCGAGTAGCTAGGGTTACAGGCATGGGCCATGGCACCTGGCTGTTGTTTAATTTTTATCACTACCAGGATTTGAACTCAGGGCCTTGAACTTGTTTGACTTGCTTGGTTGGGTCCCTACACTTGAACCATGCCTCCAGCCTAGCTCTTTGCTATTTCATTGGAGATAGGTCACCTGGATTTTTCTCCCAGACTGGCTTTCAGTTGCAATCCTCCAGATCTTAACCTTCTAAGTAGCTAGAATTATATGCATTAGCCACAGCTAATCATACAGTTTTATAAGGTCAGAAATTGCTGGGGAAGGTAGCTCAGTGGTAGAGTGCTTGCCTTGCATGCATGAGGACCTGAGTTCAATTCCTCAGCACCACATGAGCAAAAAAAGCCGAAGTAGTACTGTAGCTCAAGTGGTAGACCTAGCCTTGAGCTGAAGAGCTGAGGGACCTCACCCAGGCCCAGAGTTCAGGCCCCACAACTGAAGGGGAAAAAAAAAAAAATCTCACTATTCAGACAAATCCCAACTGCCTACCTCTGAATTCTCTGCAGTAAGTGGACAAGGCCACATAGAGCTTTTAGGGTCCCCTTCTCTTCCTAAAAGTTATCTGCTGCCTAGAGATAACAGATCAACTGACCAAGCATGTCACCTGTTCATCAGCTGGCTGGAGAGAAACTTCTAAAATGAGCTCAAATTATTTTTTGGTGACTGGGAGTGTTTTCGCCTCCTCTCTCTACTTTCATATTCTAATTGGCCAATTTTTGTCAAAGTCAGGAGGAGACTTTCCTTAGTAACTCCTTGTAGCTGATGATCAAGAGATTTTTCTGGAATGTCAAAATACAAATCCATTTTCTCCATGAGAAGGACAAAAGCAGAAGTTAATAAACTCCCTGGAGTCCATGAAGCAATCAGGCCGTTGGTCCAGGAAGATACTAACGCTCAAAATCTCTGGAGCCTTGCCTCGCCCACAATATTTCAGAGCCAGAAAGGAATTTGGGGATCGAATCATGTATTTTTTTTAATTTAAAAAAAAAAATCCAAAGTCAGGGGCCAATGGCTCATGTCTGTAAATCCCAGCTACACAGGAAGTTGAGATCTGAGGATCACTGTTTGCAGCCAGCTCAGGCAGGAAAGTCTGTGAGAGTCTACAAAACTATCTAAAAAGCCAAAAGTGAATCTGTGTCTCAAGTGGTAGAGTGCTTAGTCTTGAGCAAAAGATGAGAGATAGGGCCCAGGCCCTGAATTCAAGCCACAGGATCTGCATCAAAAACAAAAACAAGGGGCTGGGAAGGTGGCTCAGTGGTAGAGCATTTGACTTGCCATCCTGAGGCCCTGGGTTCGATTCCTCAGCACCACATAAGCAAAAAGAAAAAAGCCGGAAGTGGCGCTGTGGCTCAAGTGGTAGAGCGCTAGCCTTGAGCTGAAGAGCTGAGGGACAGCGCCCAGGCCCAGAGTTCAGGCCCCAAGACCAGACCCAAAAAAAGACAAAATAACAAAAACAAAAACAAAAGCAAAGCCTTTCTATGCTTACAAATTGGTACCTTCGTGGATTTTTCTAATTGGGACAGTTTCCCCAGTCTTTAGGCATCAAACCACCTTTTAAATATTCCTCATTAAGCTGGCGCTGTTGGCTCACGCCTGTGATCCTAGCTACTCAGGAGGCTGAGATCTGAGAATCCTGGTTTGAAGCCAGCCTACCAGGGATGTACATGAGACTCTTATCTCCAATTAAACAACAAAAAAAGCCAGAAGTGGAATTGTGGCTCAAGCTGTCCTGTGCTAGCCTTGAGCAAAAGAGCCCAGACCCTGACTTCAAGTCCCAAGGAGTGGGGGGGAGAAAGTGGGGGAATCTCATTACTTCACAAATACTGTAAATTTGAGCCAGTGATTAGGCCCAAGACAATGTTATCACTTTCTGATTCACCAGCCTTACAGAGAGGATCCTTATGCCTTCCCAAGGCTTTTTGATATCATGATCAACTTACCCATCAATGTAAAAGGCAAAGAAAATTAGAAATATGCTTTGCCTTTGTGCCCACATATTATATAAGCACCAAAGAACATCAACCTGTCCCTTTCTCTACAACCTAAGCTCCAAACTCAACAAAAACCAAAGGCCCACACAGCTTAGAGGAGGCAAAATTGAGTACTTTCTACCTAGTTCACAGAACTGTTTTCATAGCAAGCTCATAAATTCTACATAGTACCATCACACATCCGAAGCCTGCTTACCAAGCAGAGAAAGGCCCACATTCACTATGAACCTGTAAAAATTAATCTTCTCAATGCTTAGAACCAAAAGGAAACGGTGCTTTTTTTTTTTTTTTTTTTTTTTTCCTGAGATGTCAAGCTGACTTCTAAACAATCTCTTGGCAAAAATGGACATGCCTACCAGGGCGGGGTCCAAAGAGGCCTGCCACTCCCAGTATCAATTCCTATAAATCAAATCCTCACAATCACCACAATATTTTTTAAAAGAATGAATAATGATTCATGGCTTTCAAATTTTTATTACCCCATGAACATTCTCAGTAGAAAAGAAAAAAAAAAGCAACTGTAACTTGATTAATGGCCAGAGCAAGACAATAAAATAAATCTCATAAATATAAGAGGAAGGAAAAAAAAATGAATGACTGCTCTTGGCTTTGAGATTAAGAATGTAAATAATTCCACCATGGGGTCTTCACAAAGATTTCCTTTACCTTCCCTGCCTATATACCAACCAGACGCAAGATTTTCATTGGGTCCAAATAATAACGAATTTGTTTAGTAGACACTTTCATTAGGAATATATGATAAATGGCACAAATATTTAATTCCCAATCAACTCAGCTCTGAAACTGTCAAATAGCCAACCCTTACATCTTGAAATCGGATGGTAGGGAAGAAAAGGAAAAAAAAAACCACTGTCCATAATAAGTAACATACAGAGAGATTTGGTTTTTCTTTCCCTTAATCCATTTTTCCCCCTGCAAGAACTGAGCGGGTGTGCAGAATTGGGGGAGGCTTACCTAACTTCCATTAACCACACTGGTGGCCATTTCCCAGTCCTACTGACCACCCCTGGGCTGGACCCTCTGGTGCTAAAATAACCCTGGCGAAGTGCAACTCCCAGAACCATCAAGGTGCCTGACAGCTAAGACCTACAGTTTCTCCTGCAAAACCCAGCAGGCAGAGAGCCAGGAAAGCAGAAGCAAGGAGAGGCAAGCATTGCTGGTTAACCAGTTAAGTGCTGAGTTCTCTGGCTTGTTACCTTTGGGCATGAAAAATCCAACTCTATCACACAGCTCCTTGCAAGAAGGCTGGGACTGACTGGGACAACTTCAAACTCCTTCTCTTCCAGCTCCTGCCTCCATGCTGGAAAAGACCACACCATCAGCTCTCAGGAGGCTGCTGCTCATTTACGGACCTCCTGGGCCAGGCCTGGCCCGTCCATTCCTCCTTGACTCCCGTGCACACACAGACAGCCCAGGCCACGCTGGTAGCAAGCACTTCAACACCTTCACTGGCCAAAGCAGCGTTTTGTCTGGCGAAAGAGTTTCCGCGAAGCTGGTTCTGGCAGCCAGGTGGAAGGCACCCCGATGAGCCAGAGGGGGGTGGTTTTTTAATCGGAGGAGGGCAGGCGCACATGCTCGGGCGCAGGGCCGGGGAGGCCGAGGGGGCACTGCCTGCCAGGTGTTCTGAGCTTTCCAGCCACTAAAGAGTGGTGAGGTTGGATTGTAATGTCTCTTTTCTTTAAGACCACCAAGCAGTAACTTCCCACTCTTTCAAACTGAAGTTGGATGAGCCAAGGAGAGGTGGGGGAGGGGGGGGAGAGGCAAGTTCACCTTCTTACACACTTCTCTCACCTGTGGGGGGGAGCACTGTCACTTCAGGGGAGCACCCAACCCCCACCGAGCCCGCAGATGCACGTCAAGAAAAAAGAAAAAAACCCACCACCAAAAGGCACATCCCCAGGGTCCTGCGGTTTCTGGGCTGGAAGAATGAAGGCTTTGTACCATCACCACCTTCCACGGCAAACACACCTCCAGCCCCAGCCCCATCCTCACCCCCGGGAGCCGGGGTGGCCCGTTACAGCGCCCACCCACCCCTCCCCCGGGGGCTGGGATGCGGGTGTGCAGCCCGAGAGAGGGAGCGGGGGAGAAGGGCAGCAGCCGGGGAGAAGGCCCCGCGGCTCCCAGGAAAGTAACCGGGGCGGCCGGGAGCCTGGTCCTCTGCCCCCCCCCCCCCCGCTCCTCCCCACCCCACCCCCACCTTCTCCACCGAGCAACCCCCGAGCCAACTCATCTCTCTCTTTTTTTTTCCTTTTCATAATGAAACTTAATAAGCTTTCTGCCTTACCTTGGCTGTTTCTGCAACAAGTGCACGGGCAATCGGACCAGACCGGTCTCCACTCGGGGGGCGTCGTCGCGGGGGGCGAGCAGCGCTGCTGGGGAGTAATTTCAATATTAATTTATGTCAGCCGCCTTCTCAGCAGCGCTACTCACTTACAGTACTGTCCTCAGCCTGTAAACAAATATCGCTCCGCCAGGAAACATACTCCCCAGATGCAAGCCCCTCTCCCCAGCAGGGAGCCTGGGCCCTCGTCACCCTCACACACACCCCAAAAATACCGTGCGCCCCCCCTCACACACACACACGCACACAAACACACACACAGTGGCAAGCTCAGGATTCCCAAAGCACCCACCTTGCCACCCCAGCAAGAAACTTACTCGGTCGGTCTACGCCTCCACCCTCCCTCCAGGAAATCTACTCTCCATATGCATTCAGCCTCCCCGCAGGAAATCTGGTCCCCCCTCCCCCTGCTATATACATGCACCCTTTCCCTCCCTCCCTCCCTTCCCTCCCTCCCTCTCTCTCTCCTCTCTCTCTCTCTCTCCCTCTCTCTCTCCCCCTCCCCACGCGCCCTCCCCGGCCTGAAACTTACTCGCCAGCCAGCCGGCGTGCAGGCTTCTCTCTCTCTCTCTCTTTCCTCTCTCTCTCCCCCAATCCTGGAAACTTACTCCTGGCTACCAGCGCCCACCCGGCCTGCAGCCCCTGGCGGCCCCGTTCCCCCAGCCCGGCTCCCCGGCCTGCCCTCCAACCGCCTGCAACTCCAAACTCTCCGCATCCAGCCGCTCGCCCTCCCCGGTGGAAATTCGCAGGGCCGGGCTGCGCGCGTGCACCCACCCTCCCCGCCAGGAAACTTACTCCCGTCTGCACGCACCGCCTCCCGGCCATCGCTCCGAGGGAAGGGGTGTGCGCGCAGGGGGGACAGGAATACAGATGGACCGCTCGCCCCTCCCCTGGTCGCAGCCCACTCGGGCCCGCGCCAGCGCTAACCTGGCCTTACCTTGTGCGTGGCTCCCCCACGCCCGCCCCCGCCCCTCAGCCCCCCGATCCGCTCCCCAGCACCCCCTCCTTCACCCATTACCCACCCCTAGCAACCGTTCCCAAGCTCCTCTCGGCCTTTTTTTTTAAAAAAAAAAAAAAAAAACCAGGATGCAAATTCCTCCCCTGTCAGCAAATCGACTGTCAAATTATTTTCTTGCAAAAGGAGAAAGGCGGGGTGTTGGGGGGTGCACAGGAGGAGAAAAAAAGAGGGGGAGGCGGGGGAGGGGAGCGGGGCGGGGAGGGGAGGGGCGGGGAGGGGAGCCGTATCCCTCCGCAGAGCCGGCTCCGGCCGCGGGCGGGGAAGCAGGAAGTAAGGTGTCGGGCGCCCGGGCCGCGCCGCCGGCCGGGGTCCTCCCGGGGAGCCCCCCCCCGCCCGCTCCCACACCACCCCCCCGGCCCCCCGGGAAGCCGCGCTCCGCGGGGCGGCCGCGGGCCTTCGGCGCATTGTTCGGCCGCCTGCCCGGCGGGGGCAGCCCGGCGGGGTTGGCGCGCTGGGCGAGTGCGGGCGGCCGCACCTTTTGTCGGCGGGAGGAGGCTGGGGCCGCCGGGCCGAGCTGCGACCCCCGCGCCGGGGAGCGGGGTGCGGGTGGGGGGGAACCTGTCAGCCCCGGGCGCCGCCGGCTTGTGCGGCGTGGCCGGGAAATCGAGGCCCGGGCCGGGGCAGGATGGCTTCCTGCGTGGCCGTCCCGGTTACTGTAACGCTCGGGATCTGGGCTCTGGTTTATGTACAGATGTGCAAAGATGCCGAGGTCCAGGCGGGGAGCGGGGCCGGGGGGCCGGGGGGGGGGCTGGGGCTCCGGGGAAGGGGGCTGGGGGGCGGGGAGCGGTCTCCATCTGCGCGGCGCCGCGGGCCGGGGCGGGAGGGAGGGCGCCAGGGAGAGGGGCCGGGGCCGGCGGCGGAGGGCGGGTGGGCGCCGGGGGAGGGGGCGCGGGTGCGGGCGCGGCGCTCGCCCCTCCTCGCGCGCCATGACTGTGGAACGTGGTGCCGGGAGGAGGCCGGCCGCCGCCCGGGGCTGCTCGGCCTCGGTGCGGAAACCCGAGCCCGCGGCGCTCCGCGCGCTGTCCCCGCCTCCTTCTCTGCGGGGGAAACCGCGGCACCCAGTCCCGGAGCCGCGGGGGGCGGGGGGGGACAGGGCGCGGGGCGGAACGGCCGCCAGCCGGGGGCTCAAACCCCGGCAGCCCGGCCGGGCGCAGCTGACGATCGGTCCAGGTGTGGGGAACCTAGCCGGGGACCCCCCCAACATTTCCCGGGGCTTCTGGCCCTAGGAAATGTAAAACAGATGTGGTTCGGCTACATCGGCCCCCTGGCACCGGGTTCGAGGGAAGGGCTCGTGGTGGGTTTTGTTGAGATTTTTGTTTTGCATGAGGGGAGCGCTGCACCCCGTTTTTAGTGCGCCCCCCATCCATCCGTGCGCGCTGCGGACCCCGCCGCCGCCCCCTCACCCCACTCGGGCCCTGGGTGTGGACGGGGCGGGGAAGGCTCACACGGGCGCTTCAGGCATGAGGTCATGGGCGGGGGAGTCGGCTGCCAGCAGCCGCGAGGATTTCGTGTTTTTGCGGGGTAACGGCTCTCCATCGTTCCGTGATGACAAGCCCTCCCGCCTAATTCTACCAATTCTGGGGCATCTGGACCACGGAGCCCTCCTCTCCCTCCCCCCCCAAAAAAGAGGGAGGACGCTGGGCTATTGCGCGTGTGGCCCGGGGACTGGGCCAGTGAGGCTCACCCCAAACTCAGTCTTCAGTCACTGCTCCTCTGGATTGCTCCGGGCCAAGGCCTGCTGGTGCCACCATCACCACCCTTCTTCCCAGGCCAGGGCCTCGCCCCCTCCTCCCAGCCTGGACACCCCTGTCATGGCCTTTAGAGTAAGGCCCGGGTCCAGTGCATTTGTCCCTGCGGGGCTCCGCCTGGCTTTCCCTTCTCAAATCCTGTTGTGCTTTCTTTGTTAAAGGAGTGGGGATCCTGAACCCTTCCCAGGCCCACCAACTCCTGCTAGGAACTCGGAGAAACCCACGTAAGGACACCCTCATCCCTCACCAAGACCGACAGCCAGGCTTGAGCGCCTCTGCTGCGGGGGGGGGGGGGGGGGGCGGCGGGGGGAGGGGGGCTCACTTGAGACCTGGGGAAAGCACACAGCTTAGAAACCTCTATCCCTCCACCCCTGCCCCTCACCTAGAGCGAGCAACGGAGCAGGTGAAACCTTTTGCTCCGCAGCTCTTCCCTGGGGCAGTCAGAGAACCCGAGCAGATAAGGAAAGTAAGTAAATGGCTCCTGGGTAAATGCAGAAATTGACCTCTGAGGCTTTAGAGCTCCTGAACCGGAAATGGGGCAGAGGATTTGGGATCTGGCTCTGGGGGCTATTGTTACCACACAGCCCAGGGCAGTTTGTAACCTTCCCTTTCTGTGCACGCCTATATATACACCCCCCCTCCCCCAGCAGAGCGGAGGTCTAGCTAAATGGTTAGCCTTGGGGGATCTGAGCTCCAGCAGGTAACTTAAGCTCACTTGTTCTGTTTCTTTGCCTGAAAATGGGACGGATTGGCGAGGCTGACTGTCATGTTAATGTAAGGGTTAAATGAGTCAATATTATAAACCTGAGAAGAGCTAGACAGGCAAGATGTTGATTATCTGTGAATGGAGTTGCCTGCTATGCCTGCCCCCATTTCCCAAGCAATTAAGTCCCCAGAGCCTTAACTGATTCAAGCAAAAAATTATCTACAGACCCAAAAGCACGGATAAATGCAAATAAAGAGTGTAGTTGGCCAATGAGATCAACCCTTACTTAATGGGTGAGTAATTGAACTCTCCCAGTCCTGCTTGGGGAATTTTAGAATAAAAGTCAGAGGGAGGATGGATGATATTAAAGTATTACCTCACATCTTTGAAATCCGAGTTGGACTGAAAAAGTCCCAATGCTGGTGCAAAGCCCGCCCTCCCTCGGTGATGGTGATAGTGATGGAAGACCCCATAGGGTCTGATCCATTAGATCCTGATCTTTCATTCCTGGCATGGTTTCCCCAAGATTTTGGGAGGAAGTGCTGATTCTGGAGCTTGAACTCAGAGCCTCACACTGTCAACTTTCTTGCTTGGTGTTCTTATCACTTGAACCATGCTTCTTATCCAGCTTTTTGCTGTTTAATTGTGAAGATGGAGACTTGCTGGCTTCTAACAGATCCTCCAGGTCTCAGGAGTAGCTAGGATTATAGGCATGAACCACTATCACCTGACCTAAAACACTTTTTTTTTTTTTTTTTTGGACGGTCATGGGGCTTAAACTCTGGGCCTAGACGCTGTCCCTGAGCTCTTCAGCTCAAGGCGAGTGCTCTACCACTTGAACCATAGCACCACTTCCAGTTTTCTGGTGGTTAATTGGAGATAAGAATCTCACGGACTTTACTGCCTGGGCTGGCTTTGAACTGTGATCCTCAGATCTCAGCTAGGTTTACAGGTGTCAGCCACTGGCACTGGCTAAAATACTTTTCAAATGTAATTTTCAGATCTGGGGATGTGGCAGAGTGGCAGGAAACTGAAGTCTAAGGATTGAGATTAGGATTGACATTCAAACCCAGCCAGGGCAGGAAAGTCCAATTAATACCCATCCCATTCCCCCCCCCAAAAAAAAGCCAAAAGTGGAGCTGTAGCTCAAGTGGTAGAGTGTTAGCCTTGAGCAAAAGAAGCTCAGAGACAGTGCCAGACCCTGAGTTCAAGCTCCAGGACTGGCAAAAAGAAAAAAAAATGCTGAGAAAGAAAACAAATGATGAGGCAGCTGAGTTAGTGACACAAAATGATCAGAACTTTCCTCCGCAGTAAAATTCAGCATCTATTGAACACTTTTTAGGTGCCTGGCTGTGCTGCATACCAGACATGCGTTTTTATTTTAACTTAATCAGCTCCCATATCATCATCATCATTATCCTCATTTTACAGATGCAGACTGAAATGAGGCTCCAAGAAATTATATAACTCGCTTCAATTTGCAACCAGGCCAACCTGATCCCAAATCCACTCCCTTCACTACTGGCTATCTCAGTCTCTGCAACACCGGGAAAACTACTAGAATTAGGAGCTGGGCAGTTCCCAGGCCCCTCCTACTGGGAGGGCTTGGACTCACTTGTCAGGTGCTGGAGGAAATTCCCAGCTCTGTGCTCATTCCCTCAGCCCCTCTGCCAGAACTGTCAAGCTGGGTTCCTTCATTTGTTTGTAGTTAGATCTAAGACCTTTCTGGTCCCTTTCAGCCATCCAGACTGTCATTAGATTTCCCAAGAGAAAGACCATTTCTGATGTTACATGGGTTATTTACCTATCTCAGGAACAGATAAGTACTGAATGGAAATGTGACAAATTCATAGCTGGAAGAAATGTTTTAGGGCCAGTGGGCATTCTTTCTGTATTGTGCTAAGGGTAATTGTTTCTGGAGTGAAACAGTCGAAATTATCTTTAATCTATAACCCATTTGGAAATGAAAATGTGTCCTCTTTGAGAGAAAATTTACATTTGAGGGAAAATACAAGGCAATATATTCGGTAATTCTTAAAAGATATGGAGTCCTCCAGATTATTTTATTTTTTTTGCCAGTTCTGGGGCTTGAACTCTGGGCCTGGGCACTGTCCCTAAGCTGCTTTTGCTCAAGGCAAGCACTCTGCCACTTGAGCCATGGCACCACTTCCAGCTTTTTCTGTGTATGTGGTACTGAGGAATTGAACCTAGCGCTTCATACATGCTAGGCAAGCACTCTACCACTAAGCTAAATTCCCAGCCCTGATTCTTTCTTTTTAATGTGTATGAAAGGTAGAGCATCTTAAGTACTGGGGAAGTTGATGGAGAAATAGAGTGAAAGAGCATGTTTGAAGACACCATACCTGCTTCTGCTTGCCCAGTGATTCAGGTGGAAGCCTGGAGAGGCAACAGGGCCAAAGGGAGGGGGTAGATTGGGTGTGACCCGAGCCTCTG